AACCACAGACACTACAAGACACTACAGACTGGTGTCTGTCTAGCTGTACCGCAGACACTACAGACTGATGTCTGTCTAGATGTAACAGACACTACAGACTGATGTCTGTCTAGCTATACCACGGACACTACAGACTGATGTCTGTCTAGCTGTACCACAGACCCTAATGTCTGATGTCTGCCTTACTATATCAGACATTACAGACTGATGTCTGTCTAGCTGTACCACAGACACTACAGATTGATGTCTGTCTAGCTGTACCACAGACATTACAGAGTGATGTCTGTCTAGCTATACCACATACACTACAGATTGATGTCTGTCTAGCTGTACAACAGACACTACAGATTGATGTCTGTCTAGCTGTACCACAGACACTACATACTGATGTCTGTCTAGCTGTACCACAGACACTATAGACTGATGTCTGTCTAGCTGTACCACATACACACAGACACTACAGACTGATGTATGTCTAGCTATACCACAGACACTACAGACTTATGTCTGTCTAGCTATACCACAGACACTCTGATGTCTGTCTAGCTGTACCACATACACTACAGACTGATGTCTGTCTAGCTGTACCGCAGACACTATAGACTGATGTCTGTCTAGTTGTACCACATACACTACATACTGATGTCTGTCTAGCTGTACCACAGACACTACAGACTGATGTCGGTTTAGCTATACCACAGACATTACAGACTGATGTCGTTCTAGCTGTACCACATACACTACAGCCTGATGTCTGTCTAGTTGTACCACCTACACTACAGACTGATGTCCGTCTAGCTGTACCGCAGACACTAAAGACTGATGTCTGTCTAGTTGTACCACATACACTACAGCCTGATGTCTGTCTAGTTGTACCACATACACTACAGCCTGATGTCTGTCTAGTTGTACCACATACACTACAGCCTGATGTCTGTCTAGTTGTACCACATACACTACAGACTGATGCCTGTCTAGCTATACCACAGACACTTCAGACTGATGTCTGTCTAGTTGTACCACATACACTACAGACTGATGTCTGTCTAGTTGTACCACAGACATTACAGACTGATGTCTTTCTAGCTACACCACAGACACTACAGACTGATGTCTGTCTAGCTACACCACAGACACTACAGACTGATGTCTGTCTAGCTGTACCACATACACGACAGACTCATGTCTGTCTAGCTATACCACAGACACTACAGACTTATGTCTGTCTAGCTATACCACAGACATTACAGACTGATGTCTGTCTAGCTATACCACAGACATAACAGATTGATGTCTGTCTAGTTGTAACACAGACACCTAATGACTGATGTCTGCCTAGCTATACCAGACATTACGGACTGATGTCTGTCTAGCTGTACCACATACACTACAGACTGATGTCTGTCTAGCTGTACCACATACACGACAGACTCATGTCTGTCTAGCTATACCACAGACACTACAGATTGATGTCTGTCTAGCTATAACACAGAAATTACAGACTAATGTCTGTCTAGTTGTACCACAGACATTACAGACTGATGTCTTTCTAGCTACACCACAGACACTACAGACTGATGTCTGTCTAGCTATACCACATACACTACAGACTGATGTCTGTCTAGCTATACCACATACACTACAGACTGATGTCTGTCTAGCTGTACCACATACACGACAGACTCATGTCTGTCTAGCTATACCACAGACACTACAGATTGATGTCTGTCTAGCTATAACACAGAAATTACAGACTAATGTCTGTCTAGTTGTACCACAGACATTACAGACTGATGTCTTTCTAGCTACACCACAGACACTACAGACTGATGTCTGTCTAGCTGTACAACAGATATGACAGACTGATGTCTGTCTAGCTATACCACAGACATAACAGATTGATGTCTGTCTAGTTGTAACACAGACACTACAGACTGATGTCTGTCTAGCTATACCACATACACTACAGACTGATGTCTGTCTAGCTATACCACATACACTACAGACTGATGTCTGTCTAGCTATACCACGGACACTACAGACTGATGTCTGTCTAGCTGTACCACATACACGACAGACTCATGTCTGTCTAGCTATACCACAGACACTACAGATTGATGTCTGTCTAGCTATAACACAGAAATTACGGACTGATGTCTGTCTAGTTGTACCACAGACATTACAGACTGATGTCTGTCTAGCTATACCACAGACACTACAGACTTATGTCTGTCTAGCTATACCACAGACATTACAGACTGATGTCTGTCTAGTTGTACCACAGATACTAATGACTGATGTCTGCCTAGCTATACCAGACATTACAGACTGATGTCTGTCTAGCTGTACCACATACACGACAGACTCATGTCTGTCTAGCTATACCACAGACACTACAGATTGATGTCTGTCTAGCTATAACACAGAAATTACAGACTGATTGATGTCTGTCTAGCGGTACAACAGACACTACAGACTGATGTCTGTCTAGCTATACAACAGACACTACAGACTGATGTCTGTCTAGCTATACCACAGACACTACAGATTGATGTCTGTCTAGCTATAACACAGAAATTACAGACTGATGTCTGTCTAGTTGTACCACAGACATTACAGACTGATGTCTGTCTAGCTATACCAGACATTACAGACTGATGTCTGTCTAGATGTAACACAGACACTACAGACTGATTTCTGTCTAGATGTAACACAGACATTACAGACTGATGCCTGTCTAGATGTAACACAGACATTACAGCCTGATGTCTGTCTAGTTGTACCCCAGACATTACAGACTGATGTCTGTCTATTTGTACCACAGACATAACAGATTGATGTCTGTCTAGTTGTACCACAGATACTAACGACTGATGTCTGCCTAGCTATACCACAGACACTACAGACTGATGTCTGTCTAGCTGTACTACAGACACTACAGACTGATGTCTGTCTAGATGTAACACAGACATTACAGACTGATGTCTGTCTAGTTGTACCACAGACATAACAGATTGATGTCTGTCTAGTTGTAACACAGACACTACAGACTGATGTCTGTCTAGATGTAACACAGACACTACAGACTGATGTCTGTCTAGTTGTAACACAGACACTACAGACTGATTTCTGTCTAGATGTAACACAGACACTACAGACTGATGTCTGTCTAGTTGTACCACAGACACTACAGATAAATGTCTGTCTAGCTGTCCTACAAACACTACAGACCTATGTTTTTGTAGCTTTACCACAGACTTTAGAGACTTGCCTCTTTCTAGTTGTTCTATAGACAAACCAGACCTAACCATTTTCTGGCAAGAGCTATTTCAGAGACACAAGAGACCTTTTTCTTGACTAGCGGTACCACCGAGTTTGATGTGATGTATAATGAACACATGATTGCTAGGGGTCCTGTTAACCACACACCAGTCTCTGTAGCTAAACACAGCAATCAGACCAAATAAGGATTAACCTTCTCAATAACAGCAGACACTCCTCCAGGCTGACTACGGCCTTTACTGCACTGCACATCAGCACATTGGATCTATAACAGTCGTCAGTAACAAGCATTCATCAGCAATCCTTCTATACCTGGCCACCTCTTTAGCTTCCAGCCCATATTCATCATCTCTCATTACAGATTAATCGTGTGGTGTCGCCTCGCCTTACAATTACTGATCATGTGTTCTGTTCTCCCATAGGACACAGTGTAACATACCAAACACATCTACCATTGGAGAAGCCTTGCAGCATGATAACTTTAACCAAGATATAATTTTACTTATCCCAGGGAATTCTATTTCAATTCTGTGAGTAAAATTTCATTTCATTACTCTTAATAAAATATTCATGAATTAAAAAAAATCAGAAATTCTTTTTTAGTCCGATAAAAGGACAGCACAATCTCCATCTAAGAGTACATTGTCTAATTTCAGCCACATCCTCATCTGTTTTATTCAAATTCAACATTAACCAATCAATATCCAGACAATGACAATCCATTTGTTTTAGAGTTAAAGTGCTCACCAATAGTACTTGTAAACAGATCATTAGATATTGACTGCACACAAGCTCTTAAACAATTCCTTGCTATTCATGATTTGGTTAAAGATTCTACATGTGGTAATATATCTAAAATAGCACTAGTTATGTCTCACCATAGATTTTGATACTTATTATAATTGTGTCTGTATACCAATATTTGAAGATCATGGTCTTTTCAGAAATTAGATCTCAAGACTGGTGACAATCTTTTTAAAAAGCAACCCTGACCTTGACCCTGGCACACTGAAAGACAAATTATTTTCTAGGAATTCTCATATAGATCTACAAGATTACTGCATAGATTTTTAATTCAAAATACAAAAATTCTTTCAGAAATGAAGTCGCTTGAGTGATGACAAAGATTATCTATTAACAGACATTATAACTGCCACCTTGATCATGAACCTAGCACTCTGTAATGAAAGTTCATATGTGGTATTCTAATACTTGGCCATTGTTTGCAGATTAATCCAGTCCATCCTGAAATGAAGTCATCAGAGGGATGACAAACACTCAGTCATTGAGAAGGTATGATCAGTACAAGCAATACATTCATTTGACCCAATATAATGACCTTGATGATAGGAATCTGAAAGTGGTTCACTTACAGGATACAGAAAACTGTCTAGTGTCAACGAAAACATCTTTGAACTTTTATGAAAACTAAAATATTCAGCCATTCGGCATTCAGAAGGTTCAATCAGCACAAACACTACCATGATTAAACCTTAACCCCTTACAGTAACCTTGATCAAGGTGTTACAGAAACGAGAAAGCTACACATCACACTGTGTAGTCATGATATAGAAAGGTGGCATACAATGTCATTGATATGATATTCATTTACAAGTAAGATTAATGGATGCAATTTGCACTGCTATGCCATAAATATTCTGTGAAAGATTGGTACGAAAAAAATAGGTTTTGTCGAACAAAGTATAAAGGTTACTTACTCTTTGAGGATGATGATATCGCCAAGGATACCAAACATCTGGTAGGTGCCGGATGCCTCATTGATTCTCTTGATAATGTGAGTGAGGAGCTGTGTGATTGGTCCAGTGGTAGAGGGCCAGGGCACCTGGTGGTATCGCCACTCCATCAGGTGATGTAGGGCGCGTGCTGAGGGAGACAAAGCAGGACACCATAACATTAGATCACTGCGTCATACCTATATCCTGTTATACTTGCTGAAACCTTACAATATGGCCTGTATGTCAGCTATATCTACTGTGATCTAGTTATACTTATTTTCACCTGAAGCAGGAAGTATTATTGTTATCAAGCTATCTGTAGTAACAAAGTCATATTCACTGTGACCCAGCAGTACATTCTGTAACCTACCCATTCTGACCATAAACCCTCATATCTACTGTAACGAATCATATCGTGTGTAGCTAAGTCATATCCAGCTACTGTAACAAAAACATATCTACAGTAAGGAATCATATCGTGTGTAGCTAAGGCATATCCAGCTATTGTAACAAAATCCTATCTCCTGTAACGAATCATATCGAGTGTAGCTCAGTCATATCCAGCTACTGTAACAACAACATATCTTCTGTAACGAATCATATTGTGTGTAGCGAAGTCATATCCAGCTACTGTAACAAAAACATATCTACAGTAAGGAATCATATCGTGTGTAGCTAAGGCATATCCAGCTATTGTAACAAAACCATCTCTCCTGTAACGAATCATATCGAGTGTAGCTAAGTCATATCCAGCTATTGTAAAAAAAACATATCTCCTGTAACGAAACATATCGTGTGTAGCTAAGTCATATCGTAGTAACAAAGTCCTATTCACTGTGACCCAGCAGTACATTCTGTAACCTCCCCATTCTGACCATAAACCCTCATATCTACAGTAACGAATCATATCGTGTGTAGCTAAGGCATATCCAGCTACTGTAACAAAAACATATCTACAGTAAGGAATCATATCGTGTGTAGCTAAGGCATATCCAGCTATTGTAACAAAAACAGATCTCCTGTAACGAATCATATCGAGTGTAGCTAAGTCATATCCAGCTATTGTAAAAAAAACATATCTCCTGTAATGAATCATATCGTGTGTAGCTAAGGCATATCCAGCTATTGTAACAAAACCATCTCTCCTGTAACGAATCATATCGAGTGTAGCTAAGTCATATCCAGCTATTGTAACAAAACCATCTCTCCTGTAACGAATCATATCGAGTGTAGCTCAGTCATATCCAGCTACTGTAACAACAACATATCTTCTGTAACGAATCATATTGTGTGTAGCGAAGTCATATCCAGCTATTGAAACAAAAACATATCTCCTGTAACGAATCATATCGTGTATAGCTAAGTCATATCCAGCTATTGTAACAACAACATATCTCCTGTAACGAATCAAATCGTGCGTAGCTAAGTCATATCCAGCTACTGTAACAAAAACATATCTCCTGTAACCCAGTTTTACCTACTGGATACCCATCGGATCTCACGATGAAAGAAAATATTAAATTCTGCTCCGATGACTTTTGACTTTTTGATACCTGGATAAGGAAGGTAACACTGTGGGTATACTGACCTGTGTAACGGTATCCGTGAATGAAGCCCCCAGCAGACTTACGGAAGTCAAGGGAGTGGGAGGCAACCCCTACCACATACATCCCAGGGTTGTTTGTAGACTGGTAGTCATAATCAATCTTAGGAAATTTTTTAGTTCTCCCTTTTCCTAAGATCATTTTTGAAGTTCTGTTAGAAAAGAAAGGTTAACATATTCAACAACAGTTATACTTTATTATCACAAACTCAAACCAAACACTTAATTTGCAATGGTTTCTATGAGTCCTGCAATACATATTTTGGGAGCATTCTTGAACAATTGATACATTTATGCTCCCAATAATTAAGAGTCAGAAATGTTTAACTGTAGTACAATTTTACAATGTATAAACATGTTTATTTTTGGGTGGTTAAACAAATATTGTCATCTCCACGAAATGTATTATAAATACAATGTATGATGGTATGAAAATGATAAGCATCAATCTCTAAAGCTGAACATTCAGCCATGATCAGCCAGACTAATCCGACAGGCACCCGCACACAAACCCAGCCAACTGGTGGGGGAGTCATTTCCTGTCCACCTCAGGCTTATCAAATACTCACTCATTGAATATACTGCTGTCAAACGCGAAGCCCAAACATCTGACAATTCGGTCATACGGCTCACGAAGCGCAAAGTTATCCAGGGGAAACATAGAATCTTCTTCTTCATCTTTAAACTGGAGAACAAACTTAGAACCTTGCTTGACCAGCTTTACCTCATCCAGTCCTGCTTCTAAGACTCCATCGAGGGACTTGAGCTGATATGTGTCCAATAAACCGTTATTTACAGCTCTGGAGAAAACAATGGAGAGAATAAACAACAGGACATCGGAATGGTTACAAGTTTTGTGTATAACCTTGGCGACAAAACAGAGAATTAACAACAGGACATCTGATTGGTTATAAGTTTTGCTTACAATCTTGGAGACAATTAAACAGAGAATTAACAACAGGACATCTAATTGGTTATAAGTTTTGCTTACAATCTTGGAGACAATTAAACAGAGAATTAACAACAGGACATCTAATTGGTTATAAGTTTTGTTTACAATCTTGGAGACAATTAAACAGAGAATTAACAACAGGACATCTAATTGGTTATAAGTCATAAACAACCCTGAAGAAGACCTCTGACTGGTTATAAATCATAACATCTCCTTACCTTAGATCTCCAACATAGTGTGTTGCCCAGGCTAGACGAACTCTGGACCTCCCAACCATATGTATGACATTTGTAGAACCATATATAGAGTCTGCTACTTCAAAGGCTGCATTTCCCCTACCTGAACAAAAACCACATTAAAATTTTACTTCAACGACATGTGGCAACAACAAAGATTTTATTCTTTAAAGGTTTCATTCCTCTTCATGAACAATTCTATGAAATCTTAACTAACTCAGTCAACTATCTGTCCTTTAATACATGGATGATAGCCAGGAATGTCGGGTTTACAGGATCAAAAATCTACTTGTGTTACATTATTATATACATTTTGTATGTGTATTAGCTCGAGGATTTCAAAGACAGACATGTGACAGAACTACAGATGAGTGTCACACTGACCAGCTTATTGTAGCCTAAATGATTTTTGTGAAACCTGTTGTGAAGACAGAGCTTAACAAATATTAAAACACAAAGAAAACTTTGGTACAGGTCTCCTATAAATGAAGTTGAGATTCCAGAACTGTTCCAAGTATGGGTGTGTACCATTATATATGTCTTAATAAACCCAACACACATGGGTTATCGTGATATGACTATTTACCATTGCAAGGCTGCTTTAATTTCACCACATAGAGGTATAGGGACAATTACTGCAGCAACTTGGCTTGTCATGTCAAGAGACAGAACACCATATCAGAACATGGCCGATTTGCCAGATTCATCCTTTATTGTTCCCTGCTTTACATAGTATGACACAGAGGACGGCAATGATGTCAAATAAGAGGTTATACATCTGGAGACAGACTAGCATTACAGACAAGGTTTGTACGACTATGACAGTCACAGCAATGGAGTCACTGGCAGGGAAGGTGATATAGGGACCATTATGGCTGTAACATGGCCAGCTAGAACACCATGCTACACCATAAAGGCTGTATTTGTCCTCATTTAATATTGATTCCACTGTTATAATGTTTTTAACCAAGTCCTTTAAACGACAGCTTGTATCCAATTAAACAACACAAATTCCAAGGGACCCAACACCCCTTGAAATTTAACTGTTTGCTCTAGGGCTGCTTTCAGAGCACAGTCACTTTAGTGATGTTTTAGTAAGATTCATTTTCTCCAACCCGCTACAGGTGTCTCAGATTGCAGCTGGAAAACATAAGCTTGTCACCCCCTAGGGGGAGATAGTCTAGAGAATGTATACAGCATAATGGGCAACAAAATCATGTGACATCATAACACAGTTACAAAAAACAATTAGGTGATGTCATGGGAACAATAAACTATGAAATCACAGCTTCAATGGTGGAGAACATGTGCCAACAAGAAAAGAAAATAGATTACAAACGTAGTAAACCATTATTTAGAATATATCACTTACAGGTAGAATATATCACTTACAGGTAGAATATCACTTACAGGTAGAATATATCACTATATCACTTACAGGTAGAATATATCACTTACAGGTTTAGAGAAAAGGTGTATAGGTATAACTCTTGGCTTGATGCAAGCCTTGGGTCAGACAATCAAGAATATCACCTCTCGGGTTGAAATTTCTCTGACATGCCTTCCCTTTATGGGAAGATTCTATTGGTTCTTGTAAGTGTCGGGTTAGACTATAAGGGTGGAATTTTCCTATCCTGCACCCTTTGGTTATGAAAGAGCATTTTTTTTCTCCATACCCCGTATTCTGTTTGCACAGAAAAAATAATACCATCTTTCTAACTTGTACGGTAATATATTGTAAAACGTTTTAATTTCATCAAGTTGCCTTTTACGCATTGCGGCATCAGTGTTTTCCAAATTCATGACGTGACATCATTATTGATCGCGCCATTGTGACGTCACGCCCATGTAAAATCGACTCAGCAAGTATAGCTATCTTACATGGCCAGCGTTATCTTACATGACCGGATATGAGAGAAAATTGTTTAATTTTCTGGTTTCTGAAACCTTTTGTTATTAATATAAATATTGTTCTATCTGGTTTCTGAAACCTTTTGTTATTAATATAAATGTTGTTCATCATTGTTAAGAAAACAATTCAAATGCTAACTATCTTCAGGTTTAAGTGGATGCCACACAGCTGATCATTACTTTGTTACCTTCCAGACTCTGAGATAAACAAACTTCATTACTCTCCAGTTAAAGTTGATGCCACATAGATAATACACTGGGAAACTTTTACCTTGTTAAATATTCACCATATTAATAGTAAAATCCACATTAGCCAAGTGTTAAAGTTTGTCCTTCACCTGCTATTACTATATATGGTAGGTTGTGTACATATATTCACTGTCATGATAATTTTGTTCTCATTACAGAGGGCGAAAAAGGTGAGTTAAACTGCAGCAAATATTTTCCAGTAATCACCCTCAGATTGAAGTTGACGCCACACAGCTGACACAAACTTACTAACTCTTTGTTGGAGATCACTTACTCTATGGCTGAAAGTACATTGCAATACAAACAAAGTGAGAAATAACTGACAAAGAAAACACAGGATACATACAAAGGAATCAAAACATTTTGTGTATTAAAATCCATTCAGCTCAATGAGCCTATAGTGATCAAATTGTTTTTATCTATCCCTGCAGAACAATCCAATATATATGTGGATAACACAATATCAGCTACCTAAAACACCTAATTCTATGGAGACTGCTTTTGAGCACTCCCTTCTCCAACACGTCATTGAGTTGGGCACGTATGGGCGCTGTGGTTCTGACACCCACTCCAAAGGTCTCACACAGTCACTCCTTCATAACACCAGTAATCAAATGACAAATTGCAGCATTTACACAAAAGTGTCAGAATATTGATCGAGTGTTTCTCACAATTATTAGCTTGTTAGGAAATCTCTCTTCGAAATGCAGAAAACTCTCTGCCAAACCCTTTAGTTGAGGAAGCGCTATAGAGGAAAAAAGTGACGTCCTGGTAGCCGGAGGCGTCTATCATCGTGGCACGCTGCTTTGTGTGTACCGTATCCTAATGGATGCTTGTAACTTCACTGATTGCCCAATAAATCTTTGCCAATGAAATACACAGGCAGAATATTTACATGCATCAGTGTAATTTATCTTGATGAGATATGAAAGGATTTAATTTGTCCTCAATGAAATCTCCATTACTATGTAATCCTTCAAGAATCCTATGGATCAGTTTGGAGTTTTTTGCACAGAACAAGATGTAATGTTGATTCATCGATAAAAGACTTCAAGAAAGAACACATACATGTACTAAAGATTCTAGGGAAGACTAGATCTGACCAAATCTCAATGGTGGGTTTGTGGCACAGACCTGGGAGTAGGAGCTTTGATGAGATTTTACATGCACCTATCGGGTAGGAGTCTTCAGATGAGTTTGTGACATACAAGCACGGGACAGGAGTAATGATGAGCTAGAAAATGTGTAGGGGTAGGGGTCTTGGTGAGTTGATGATATAGACCTGAGGGGTAGGAGTCTTGGTGAGTTTATGACACAGACATGAGGGGTAGGAGTCTTGGTGCGTTTCTGACATAGACATGAGGGGTAGGAGTCTTGGTGAGTTTATGACATAGACCTGAGGGGTAGGAGTCTTGGTGAGTTAATGACACAGACATGAGGGGTAGGAGTCTTGGTGAGTTTCTGTCAGAGACATGAGGGGTAGGAGTCTTGGTGAGTTTATAACATAGACCTGAGGGGTAGGAGTCTTGGTGAGTTTCTGTTATAGACATGAGGGGTAGGAGTCTTGGTGAGTTGATGACATAGATATGAGGGGTAGGAGTCTTGGTGAGTTGATGACATAGATATGAGGGGTAGGAGTCTTGGTGAGTTGATGACATAGATATGAGGGGTAGGAGTCTTGGTGAGTTTATGACATAGATATGAGGGGTAGGAGTCTTGGTGAGTTTATGACATAGACCTGAGGGGTAGAAGTCTTGGTGAGTTGATGACACAGACATAAGGGGTAGGAGTTTTGGTGAGTTTATGACATTGACATGAGAAGACAAACTATTTGACTTGCTAGGTAGGAGAGGTTTTGATCAATTTTGAAATAGGATTTTGCATACATGAGCATGCATTATCTATAAAATTCACTTCCTGAACACAATGTGCAGGCTCGCACAGAAGCATTCACTATTATTTTTTAATGTTTGTATACCTTAATTAAGTTGACTATAGTTTTAGGTGAAATCAATGATTAAACTATTGGTTAGCAGTTGTCTGGTAGATAGCATTGATTAGATTGAGCCAATCATTACTCTGATGGTTAGCAATCAAATGTACTAAACAGCAATTAAATAGCTGTATACACCGTAATATTGGGTTGAGACTATCTGGTCAGGATTAAATAAGCCTATTCAATGACCATGTGCTTGTGCACTCTGTGAGAGTAAAGGACTATTAACCACTGGGTGTGGTCAGTTACACGAAGAAAATGAAATTGACCTGAACAAATTGCCAATCTGCAGGAAATACAGAATCTCATTCTGACTGCCATTGATCACAATACAGATCACAAATGGTTTATAAATCACCATGGCAACCAAAGGGTGGTTAACCACTAGGTGTTTTTTGTGTCACCATGGCTACCAATGTGTGACTTTCTTTATCATCATGGCCATCACTAGGTGGTTCTCTATGTCACCATGGCTACCAAAGTGTGGCTATCTGTACCATAATGGCCATCACAAGGTGGTTCTCTGTATCACCACGGTTACCACTGTGTTGCTCTCTAAATCACTTTGGTTACCAAAGTGTTGCTCTTTTTGTCAACAAATCTACCACTGAGCGGCTCTCTATGACCCACCTCTGCCACCATTCTTCATTTACCTGACAACCTTTATCTTCTTTTTTTCTGATTTGATATAGTTCCAAGTATTTTGTAATGAACTATCATAGCAACAAAGCAGAGGAAAGGAGAGCCATGATGAAAACTATATTCTTATAAATTCAGCCATTCAGTTTGAAGTAATGGATGAAAAAGACCTGTTTGTAAAGAACTGTCAAGGGAAATATCCAAAAAAGGTTTTCAGCTTTATACACGTTTCCTTCACGCTAAATCAACCTGATATAGCTAAGATGCAGTCTTCATTGATTTATCAGACAATAATCCTAGGACAGATTTAGTAGGAGGTAAACCTTCTGTCCTGTACAAAAAGATACCAGTATACAAGCGGTGGGCCTTATATCCATATATGGTATTATAATTAACGGGAGTGGTGTGTAATGTAGCAGGTGCCCCTCGGGGCATCAGGATGGAAGCAATTTACTGCTCATAACAAATTAATTTCATGGCAGCATTATTGATTTTTAATACATCAATTAGAATTATTAAAATAAAAACATGCCATAACTTGATTGCATATTTTAATAAGGATGCATTTTTGAAGTGAAATATAGAATTCTTTGAACCTGATAGAAGTTGACAACTCTGACTCAAAATATCAATATTATATATATTGACGAATATAGCCTGAGCGTTTTTTTCTAATCACTGCATTCATAATTGCCCATTTCTTGTAATGAATAAAAAACATCGTTAGATTAAGTGGTTGTTTTGGTACAGCATTGGTATATACAAGAGGGTGTTTACAAAACCTTGTTTTTCAACAAAAATCTTATCTTACCAAGACTCAGTCAAGAATGTTGAAACTGACAGAAATCTAAAGTAAAATTATAGTGTACCCAAGTAGTTCTTCAAGGTAAGCTGAGTCCTAACTAAACACTTATGAAAAGTCAGAGACTCAGAATTCTGTTTTGTAGAAATTACTGCAGTCACAGCCTTGTCCTGTTTATATATTGTTTTAAATTAGTTTTGAATTGAGATATAAATGAAATCCAGTTAAATTTATTGTGTTAACAGATCAGTGTTGATTAGGATGTTCTAGGCAAGTCAACAGAGTTTTTGATATAATATGATTCCTATATAAACTACAAAAGCAACACTGGACTGTCTATGGTGAAAACCTTATTGCCTGCTCTAGTGCTATCAATTACAATTCAATCGCAGTCACTTGTTTTGGGGATGAACATTATTCAATAATTTGATATGTTCTTCANAATTTGAATCAGAGAAGGGGCCGTTTTGGAAACCGGCCCTTTCATGAAAGTTTGCATTTTTTATACAAGTAAACAATCCTATGAATTTCCTGTGTCTTAAGTCATGAAACAGACACTGACTATTGCAAAATATTTGTCACGGTTGAAACCTTTGCCATTTTTTCAGCATTTGTAATGACTGTGTTATCATGACAGCAGATCTTGGTAGACATCTTATTATAAATAGTCCTTCCATGGTGAAAGGTGAAATTAACATCGGGCGAATTTGATTTTACCATTGTAGAGAGTTAACTCATTCACCCCTGAAGACACAGTTGAACTCTTCCAATTCAAAGGTTGGAATAGTTCATTATGAAATGTCAGGGGTGAATGAGTTATTACACCATTTCTAATAAATACGCACAGAATAGTATAGGATTTTCAAGAAGCCCATATAGAATACTATCACTAGCTCCAAACTTATTGATCAAGCTGTGGTGCCGTCTAACATAATACACTAGAGTATAGAACCGGACCGGAATGTTTATAAAGAATAGTACATACCAAGAATAAGTACGGACTGTCCCTCAAAGTCGTCCGGATTTATTGACACAGATTCGTACCCATCAGCGTACTCCATACCAGGAACTTCTTTAGGAATATTGGGTTCAGCTATACCAGTGGCAACAATTACTTTTCTGAATAAAAATAAAATATAAGAACATAAATCACAATGGTAAAGAATTGTAGGAAATCAACATTTATGAAAGTGTTACAATGTGTTCATGATGCAAAATTTAATTTCACAATAATAAGAAATCTTACATAACGAATAATAACCTAAACACATCACATATTCACAGAAAGGAAAACCTGAATAAAATAAAGGCAATTTAAGCGTCTGCGGACTGGCATAGATATACATCTCCCAGCCTCCATCCCCTAAAGTAATCAAGTGTAACCTTTGACCCTTTAACCTTGAAGGATTATCACTGAAATCTAAACATTTGTAGAACTGATTATAGCAATATTATGATGTACATATGAAATAAATCTGTTCAGCAGATCATGATATCTTATACAAAAGATTTTCACTGCAGGTACTACTGGGAGGGACACGGACAAGAAATTACTATATACCCCTCCATCAAGTTCGGGAATAATAAAATTACCCTACATACATATATATATATTCTTTTTAGAGGCATCATAAATGGACTTGAACAGTTGTATCATGACCTCAAATACTTTAAAACTTTCAACTTACAAAAGCCTGAATGCCAAACATACTCTATAGCAGAAAACTTTCATCTCTCACTGGTAGATCCATTCCCCCGGCATTAATTTGGCCCTTCACATGTAGTGATTGTATGTAGTATGTGTTTTGATATTTACTGTCAGGCTAAATTTGCATTCATTATGAAGGGTTAAGAATGCAAAAGTTAAACTACAACGAAAATGTCCTGGTATACAGTAGATATATTGTATTAACACACAATATTTTAAACTTGGGATCAACATCATGTGATTTATCAAAATACGTACGAGCATGTGTAGGGGTTGCCTTTGTCATCCTCCATTGTGTATATGTGTCCACCAGCAGACGAATCGTTGGCCACCCGGCGTATGTTTTGCATATTTGAATTAAATTGGACATTTAGTCCTAATTTTTTGTGATAGTCTTGCAAATACTGCACCAAAGCATCTGCATGTGGAAACATTTCCTTGGAATAATGTTTAAAAAGAAGTGATTCGTCATGACTTATTAAAGAATTCCAGTCGTGACGCAGGTTGAACTCCTTGTTAGATTTGCCTGTATGTCTTTTGTTTATGCTGATTAACTTTCTGTGTCTTGGGTACACTGTATAGAAGCTTCCTGGAAAGATAAAGTAATTTAACAATCAACAATGCAACAAAATAATCATAGTTGGTTCTTGATAACACACATTACATTATGGGGAGTGGGAGATCCAACACTCGTGCAAAGAGTTCAGTGGAGTTCTTTGATGCCCAGCAGTCGGATTCCACAAGGAATACAAGAGTTTGGCCGTAGTATAGTAGATAAATCAATTAGGTAAAGATGACCATGCATGAAACCCAGCACGACATGGTCATCTTTACCTAATTGACATATTAGAAATAAATACAAATGGAGCAAAATATAATTTTGACAACTTTTGACGGTACCTTGGTATACCTATGATCTACACACAGTGCCACATTCCTCCCTAATTCAACATAGTCTTTGAACCAGAACACACAGGAACACCTTATACCAGCTGTCCCTGGTATATTAAGTTCAGTGCCAAAAGTAACAGGAAAGGGAAAATGCAAAGGCCAGACCAGGATTTGAACCCAGGTCCTCTAAACTCTAGACGAATACTGTACCTGGCTGAGTTATATTATATTGGTAATTGACTTACAGTCCAGTTCCACAACAGTTGAACACCATATCGTGGATCAGAGGGTGACAAGTCCACAGTCTAAAGACAATACTTAATATATCTCTGATAGTGCTAACTAGGACAGGACAGGACCTTACAGAACAACAGGATCAGAAGGTGACAAGTCTACAGTCTAAAGACAATACCTATATATATCTCTGATAGTGCTCACTAGGACAGGACGGGACCTTACAGAACAACAGGATCAGAAGGTGACAAGTCTACAGTCTAAAGACAATACCTATATATATATCTGATAGTGCTAACTAGGACAGGACCTTACAGAACAACTGGATCAGAAGGTGACAAGTCCACAGTCTAAAGATAATACCAATATATATCTCTGATAGTGCTCACTAGGACAGGACAGGACCTTACAGAACAACAGGATCAGAAGGTGACAAGTCCACAGTCTAAAGACAATACCAATATATATCTCTGATAGTGCTCACTAGGACAGGACAGGACCTTACAGAATAACAGGATCAGAGGGTGACAAGTCCACAGTCTAAAGACAATACTTAATATATCTCTGATAGTGTTAATTAAGACAGGACAGGACCTTCACTTGAATCTGAAGGAGACAAGTCCGAAGACAATATTGATATTTCTACCACTGTCTGGTTTCATTGTCACGTCTACAAAGGAAATACCCTGTCTACTGTACTTTCACAATGTGTGAGGATTAGTGTGCATGGTTTATTCTACTTGCAAGGTTTGGTACAGATAGGACTAAGAGATTGCATACTGGACGAGTCTAGATCTGTATCCTTCACAATGCTGGCAGAGTTCTGTATGAAAAGTGACTAGGGGATCGTGACTGGAACAGTTTGACTTGAATAAAAGAATTACCCAGCTGAATTCAGTCAGTAGCCTCACTTTAACCAATAATATAGTTATTAGCTATAGATGGGCTCCTGTAGACAATTCTAAATCCTACTGAAATACTCTGCAGGTGTCATATCTAGTTATGTTTCTACTCCACTTACATATATACAACTATTCCCTGTGGATAGTAATTATCAGACAGTCTGGCAGAGGAACAGAACACACCAGTGTAGCTGAACAAAAGATAAGAGTTTTTCCAGTAGGATGAGCCAACTATAGAGGGCAGTTGATTACTGGTCACTTACTGGTCTTGTCTACCCGTGGTAACTAAGGCCACCAGCCAATCAGATCACAACAGGCTCATTAAGTATGCATGAATTTTACCAAGCATCAAATGTGATCAAATGACTTAAGAATTTGAGGATGTTTCATGGAAATCAAAGCATTCACTTTGAGTCAGTAATAGCACAGAAAGTTTTGCGCGGACGATGAAACAAATGTCCACATCTACCCGTAAGTCACCTTCGTAATGTAGACTGCATTTACTGTACAGATTTACACTTTAAGGAAATGTGTGCGTGGAATATCTCTCGAGTACAGACATATCTATAAAGACCATAACAAAATGCACACAGTGCCTGTATCATTACCTTCTTTTGTAGTTTGAACTACATAAAAAGTTCTTTCTGCTATATCTGATTTCTTATTGACCGAAAGTATTTAAATAACAATAGTGCATATGATAGGACATTGATAGGAACATTTGTATAACATCTGTATACAGGGATCTGGTGGAAATGAGTCTAAAAATAGTCTCAGCCAATAGGAGGATATGGTGGCCATCTTAGATTTATTTAAAATCAAACGGAAAAAAATAACAACACATGTTCAGGACCATGGAACAACATTCAGATCAAGTTTATATACCACTGAGGGTGGGAGCTGCATGATCGAATCAGCCTATTTGATAATGAAAATTCACTGCTCAAGGCCATTTGCATGAAGTTTTATAAAATCAGCCTGATGGAAAATGATAAGTAGAAAATGTCTCAGCTAATTAATATCAGACTGTGCCACTCAGTCCTCTGAAGGTCCACACCCTTCATTTATACCAAATTTACTTCTCTGGTCCAAAGGATGCTTCGTAGCAAACATTTGGTTAAAATCTGATTTCCCATTCAGGAGAAGTAGGTTTTTAAATGAAAAGGTTGACAGACATAAAGGACAATAGATGCATGACAGTATTAACTAATATATGGTCCTTCTGTCCAGATGAGCTCAAATTTGTGTTGCAGGCATTTCCATAGAGAGCAAAAAGTCTTATCACAAACACTTCTATACAGACCTGAAATTAATTACAGACACTTATATAAAGACAAGAAAATCCTATTTCTATTGTCTCAAAAAGAATCAAAGCAGAAGGAGGGTGCTAATGGATATTTTCAGCTGGTGTCCGGTAAACCATGTATTTGTCCCTTTACGTAAATCTACAAAGACAAAGAGTCTTTATATCAACCAATTAATTCACATTTTTTCTGGCTGTTGATTTTCCTGACCTCCTGTAATAAATCATGGTCATTTCACATCAAAAGTGTCATATGATTTTAACTAAACATAAAAGTATGTCCAATACCTGACAGAACACTAAAATAAAGAGGACAGACTGCCAGAAGGCATTGTTTGTCACTGTCTGGTGATGACAGGTTTACAGAAAGCATATGAAGTGACAGAAAGCACTGGGCCCCGGTCATTGTATAGCGTGTAGACTTTTCTGTTGAACTCACAGACCTTAATAAGGACCTTACTTTAATACATATAGAAATTCCAGAATGGAGCATTGTTGACAGTATTTTTTTATTTACTTTTTCTTTTGTATCTTTTCTACTTCTACGTAAATTGTTTGTAAACTCTCTTACAGAGTGATTCAAACACCAGTCAATTAGTGGCCTTAATAGTTGATCTGGTTTCACTTACTTTATTTTTCACATGTTGAACACCTGTGACCTTTATATAGTCATTTATTTAACCAAATGAACTCTCAACCCAGCAAACTGCAGGTAAAATATGACTAGATGTAAACCTCATGGTTTTGATGAAGCTGTATTTTATACTTCACTTGCCCTTAATAAAATTGTTTTTATACCCCTGCCTCTTTAACTCATTCACCCCTGAAGACATATTTGAACTCTTCTAATTCAAAGGTTGGAATAGTTCATTATATAAGTTCAAGGGTGAATGAGTCAAGTTTACCAGGTGTTTCAGAACCTTAATCAATACACTAAACACAATTTGTATTTCTATTAATTAATGTTTCTCTGACTGATTCTCCATTAATTCTTGACAGTACTATCAATAATACAGAAGGGCTTGACTAATTGATCTCCAACAAAGCCCTACAATATTTATACTGAATCCCACTGTATCCTTTTCTGTAAGTAAATTGATCTAACAGGATCACAATAAATCTCAAAGACCTGAGGTCTGAGCTAAAGATAAAAAGCAGGGGAGAAGAGAAAATTCAAGTACAGATTTTATCACATACCATCAATGTAGGAAATTAGAGAAATGTTTTCATTTCAAATGAGACATGAAATGAGTGCAGAAAATTCCTGTTCAGTAAAATGAGTAGAAATTTTCCCTTTAGGGATATTGTGTAAATGAGTACAGAGGATTTCCCTTTAGGGATATTGTGTAAATGAGTACAGTAGATTTCCCTTCAGGGATATTGTGTAAATGAGTCCAGAAGATTTCCCTTTAGGGATATTGTGTAAATGAGTCCAGAAGATTTCCCTTCAGGGATATTGTGTAAATGAGTACAGAAGATTTCCCTTTAGGGATATTGTGTAAATGAGTACAGAGGTTTTCCCTTAAAGGGATATTGTGTAAATGAGTACAGAGGTTTTCCCTTCAGGGATATTGTGTAAATGAGGACAGAGGATTTCCCTTTAGGGATATTGTATAAATGAGTACAGAAGATTTCCCTTTAGGGATATTGTGTAAATAAGTACAGAAGATTTCCCTTGAGGGATATTGTGTAAATGAGTACAGATGATTTCCCTTTAGGGATATTGTGTAAATGAGTACAGAGGTTTTCCCTTCAGGGATATTGTGAAACTGAGTCCAGAAAATTTCCCTTCAGGGATATTGTGTAAATGAGTACAGAGGTTTTCCCTTCATGGATATTGTGTAAATGAGTCAAGAAGATTTCCCTTCAGGGATATTGTGTAAATAAATAAGTACAGAAGATTTCCCTTTAGGGATATTGTTTATTTATGTTGCTTACAAACTAGATCAATGGTAAAGTTAGGGAGCTAGTCCTGACAACAACTTACAATCAAGATCAATGGTAAAGTTAGGGTAACTAGCCCTGACAACAACTTACAAACTAGATCAATGGTAAAGTTCGGGTAACTAGTCCTTACAACAACTTACAAACTAGATCAAAGGTAAAGTTAGGGTAACTAGCCCTGACAACAACTTACTAACTAGATCAATGGTAAAGTTAGGGTAACTAGTCCTGACAACAGCTTACAAACTAGATCAATGGTAAAGTTAGGGTAACTAGCTATAGCCCTGACAACAACTTACAAACTAGATCAATGGTAAAATTAGGGTAACTAGCTATAGACCTGACAACAACTTACAAACTAGATCAATGGTAAATTTAGGGTAACTAGTCCTTCCAACAACTTACAAACTAGATCAATGGTAAAGTTAGGGTAACTGGCCCTGACAACAACTTACAAACTAGATCAATGGTAAAGTTAGGGTAACTAGCCCTGACAACAACTCACAAACTAGACCAATGGTAAAGTTATCGTAACTAGCTATAGACCTAACAACAACTTACAAACTAGATCAATGGTAAAGTTAGGTTAACTGGCCCTGACAACAGCTTACAAACTAGATCAATGGTAAAGTTAGGGTAACTAGCCCTGACAACAGCTTACAAACTAGATCAATGGTACAGTTAGGGTAACTAGCTATAGACCTGACAACAACTTACAAACTAGATCAATGGTAAAGTTAGGGTAACTAGCCCTGACAACA